TAATAAAAAATGAATGAATTTGTGATTCGAGAAGTAAAGTTATTGTGATATTTCTGTCTAGCTTATAACAGTAAATACGATCATTTTTTGTTATTGTGTTTTGCAATCAATATAGAAAAGATAATAACCTAATATCGATTATCTTGTAGAAAATATAAGGTCCTAAATTAGATTTCTTTCTTTAGCATGCCATAAATAAATCAAACAACGTAAAATTCCATCCGCGCGATCGATGCAGTAATATCACGAATTTCAAATTATGTTCCGACATAGCGGAAATGTAACATCTCGCATTTTATCGCGTATGTGCGAAAGTGTGTTAAAGTTTTGTAACATTTACCAAATGCATTCAAATGCTACTATTTATCAGAATGAAAGCATACTCGCATTTAACGCATGTCGACAAAAACCAGATTATAAGGCCTCTTACGCACTGTCGATTAACAATAAGTTGCCTGCGACTTGGTCGCCGGCAGACTAAAAACAAAGTCTAGTCGCGGTGACCAGCGGCAACTACGTGCGTAAGCGCTTATAGATTCCAATATATTTAGTAGTCGCCGACGACCAAGTCGCCAGTGCATAAGGGACCTAATACGCTCGAAATATCGAAAAAGACCTTCTCATTGTTATTCATATTACACGTCAAAACAATACAAACAAACAAATACAATGAATATATCGAACAGTTCGTAATAAAAATTACAAAAATGATTTTACGTCACAAAATTAAACGATTTACTTTGTATAATTCTTGCGTGTTTTACACGTGATTACACTAAGAGAACTTTTTCCCCATGACTATATATGATTCGGATTTGATACCGGGGAAGTGCTCCTTTCCGTTCTTGTCCACTATGTCGGCGAATTTTCTTTCTACGAGCGGCTCGAATCCCGCATTCGCCGCCGATTTTTGTGAGAATAGCGATGTGAATACCGTGCATGTCGCCGGAATGTCATACTCACGAGCGATTTGATCCCTAAATCGAGATTTAAACCATGCAAAGTATTGATAAATAAATATGAAAGAGTAAAATTAATTACACAAATAGATAATGTAATAAAACTAAATATTGAGTGTGATAAATTGAAAAAAAGCGTAAGAAGTATGAACTGCAAAGTCGCGAGTTATCGGGATTTTATTTTGTCACAAATTAAGTTAAATAATATTTTGATATGAATCACACATACCTGGTTTTTAGCAGATCTGTGCCTAATCCGTACCCTCGGTAGCTGGGTTCTACACTAAGTCCAATAGCATTCAGATATTTGTTTACACCGTAACGTTCATATGCTATTTTAGTTGCATCGCCTATTAGTTCGAATGTATTTTTACAGATTGGTGACGTGAACTGCAACGTTTATCAACGCTTATTTAAGTTGCGATAATATGTACATAATACTTAGCATTATATTAAAAAAAGTAGCATATTTTTTTTATGTGAAATATAAATAGAAAAAGGAGGGCCAATAAAAGGAACGAGATATTGGCAAACGTTACATATTTAATTGCGCACAATATCTAACACGCTTTGATTTTCATTAATACAATAAAGTTATTAATATTCTATGGAAGCTTCTATGAAAAATATAGTGATTCGAATAAAGAATTAAATATTTATTAAAAAACTGTAAAACTAAAAAACTATAAAAAAAATTATTTCCAAGAAATATTAATGGAATGACTCTTTAACAATTAATAAAATTGATCAAAAATTAAAAGCTGACAAGAGCCTGAGCTAGAACTTATCGTTCCACATGTTTATTTACAAAATATAATATTGTAAGACAAACGTTTCAGCCTTCGACTTAGGCCATCTTCAGTGTATAAAGGAAAAATAAATATAATACGCATAACAACTTAAAAACTAAAGTATTGCCGTTACGAATTTTACAAAGATAATCTTAGAGCGCAGAAACATTCAATTTATAATATGTTAAACGTCCAAGCTGAAGTAGCACTCATATTGTAAGATGTTACATGAACTTGGTAAAAAATAAAATAGTTGAAACAACTCATGACATCATAATAGATATGAGGTCCGTGTTAACATCGTGAAAAGATTTATTTTTGTGAAAACTCCATGCATGATCAACTTTCTCAGAAAAGGAACCAACATGTTAGAACAAGTAAAATGTAACAACAACTCGAAACTCTCCATACAGTAGATATCTCAAGAGGAGAATAAAAACCAGAATCAATTTCTGGTTTTAGTTTGACATTTAACATATAAACGTTTGTCTTATATTATATATTGTAACATGTGGAACAATAAGTTCTAGCTCAGACTCTTGTCAGCTTTTAATTTTTGATTACTTTTATAAACAAAATATTTTGAGGAAAATTAATAGAACTCACCTTGTATTCTGCGATACCGTCTTTATGGTCTTTAATCGAAACACCTAAAGCATTCATGCCGGCGATTATAGGTTTCCCGCCATCGGGATTGTCGATGAAAGCGGCTATCGATATGTTTTGTGTGAATAATATGGTCCATAATGTAGATATATCTTTTAAAAATAGAGGATCATTTTTGGAATCTGAAAATAAGAAAAATAAAAAGATGGTGAAGAATACAATCATCAAAAATAATTATTTTGCTTTGTTGGTATGCGCTCGCATAAAAATAGACCATAAATACTGTTATATAATAATTTTGATAAATATAATAAGAAGAAATAGCTTTTATGAGATGTTTTACAGCTTTCTGTTAAGTAAAATGTGAAAAATTTGATGAAAGTCGTGAAAATAATATTTATTATTCGTTAATTGAAAATGACGAAACTTACTCCAACATTCGCAGGTCGGTTCGTCGGCCACAAAATTTTTGCACATGTGTTGAATTGCTTCTTCGTATCTGTCCTCAGGAATCTCTTGAATTGTGAATTTCAATGGTTTTCCATCTTTGCCTACTTTTTCAAGCAATTGCCAAACTTTGGGTGGTTGGCCTGGTTGTTTGACGCATGCCATTGATTCAATCGCTTTTTTTAAATCAATATTTTGATTTATTTGTACTCCGTAGAATCGCACGGGTTGACACTTGGACAAAACCCCGCGAAAACGAAAGATTTTTAACATTTATTATTTGATACGGTCCGTTGTTGACTGTACGAGTATCGTCGGTCGAATGGCTTGAATATCAACCAACAATTAGTATCGTCGTCAATTTCATATTACAGGATGTAACTGATACTCGACGCAGTAATGAAAATACGTTATCACTTTCCTGTTTATCTCGTTTGAACATGTATTTTTTTCGCATGTGCTACTTTGATTATACTGTTTGCCATATACAATGCGTGTGTATTATCGCATGAAGCTTGATATTCTTATCTAGTTTCTAGTTTTAGAAAGATATTAAATGGAAAAAGAAATAAGATAGACTGATTTCTGTGTAAGAATAATAGCTATTCAACAAGTTGTTTGCTAACAGAAAACAGGAAGTAATTTTATGCAATGTAATGCATAAATGGTAATTAAAAAATAATAACGTAATATAACTTTATATATAATTTAAGAAATAAAAAAAATAATATTTTTTTCATTACTTAAATTATATATAAAGTTATATTACATTTTATAATTTATTAAAGAGATTTAATAAATGGTTATAATAATTTTTTATTGCAATTTGTGGAACATATAGATTATAAAAACTACATTTGTGGGTTTTATTAAAAAAATATAAACTATTCTGTATTTTATAACTTTTATTATAAGAATTAAAAAATAATTCATATATATATATATTTACATATATTATATCTCGTTCAACATGTAACTCACTTCAATTGCACGGCAAATGATGAATGTAGTAGTAGTAACTATGAGACTATTATCTATCTTCTTATCAATATGCCTTAAATATTGCATTTTTCTTCTTACATATATTATTAGGTACTTATATAACACATATAACATTATATAACACATATAATGCGTACATAGAAAAAGCGTTACATGAAATTTTTATATTGCTGATATTGTGTTAAAATTAATGTTTTTGCAAATGTATCGAGACATTTGCAAAAAGTAAAATAGAATATAATTTTTTGCATAATTCTTTTTTTTTATATATATTCTTATATTTTTTATCTGTTTTAAACGTTGTATGTAACACTTGAATTTTATATATATATATATGTATGTATTAATATTTTACTCGTTATCTCTCTCAGCGAATATGAAGTTATCTAGACGCGTGCAGGCAATTGCGAATATTTTTTTTTTTTATTTATCTCTTCGTTTCTTCGCCCACATAACATCACTATGTCATTTAGACAGTGTCATAACAAGTGAGAGAATATTATTTTGCATAATTGCAAATATTATTTTTCTGTATTATTAATGTTACATTTTTTGATACACGATTAATTGTTGTAAATATTTCCAGACAGCATTTTTTTCTACAAATTTTTATTTTTATAATTAATTTTTAAAATCTTTGATGGATTTTGTTCTTTGTTTATTTTTTTGTCTCTTATTTCTTATTTAAAAAAAAAATGTCAGAATGTGACTGTAATTAATAAATTATAAATCGATTAATGCAATATAGGTGAAAGAAAATAATTGTTTAGCAATAATTACAAAATTTATCTTCTTCTTATAAACGCGTAAATTTGCTTTTCTATACATTGTAGTTTTTATATATTTCCCTGATATATGTATACATACATATAAAAAAATAATTTTAATTTTTTTGTTGCCAATTATTTTAAAATGAATATTTTTACAGGTACATTGATGCATTTACAAAAAGATGACACTGTTTAAATACAAAATATAATTTTTTATATAAATCAGTTTTATATTTGAACGCAGTTTATGCGTTAATCTTTATTCCAATCTAATTTTAAGTATGTGTATATAAGATTGTAATTTTTATCATTTCGTTACACAAGTTATTCGTTTGATTACGTATCGCTGATTTTGATTGACATTTAGGTCAGCCGATTAACAAATCGGCTTACTGAATTCTAAATGTTCAGTTATATTGGGTTTGTTCGATAATGAATTCTAATCGGTATGGTTACTAATTTTATCCACAATTATCAGTTAGTATGGACAGTAAAAATTATTTGCAATTGATTCTCGCAATTGAGTTAATTTTCGTTTCCCCCTTTTCTTAAATATGAACATAGAGAATTGATAAAAATTACATAATCAAGCAAACAACTATTACGATAAGAATTTTAAAAATATTGAGGAGATAAACATCTGTATTGGCTATCATGGATTAATGCTAAAATGGTGATAAGAAAAGCTAACTATCTACAATCCAGTTTGCTAATAAAATCGTTTATGCGAATATAAATTGCAACAATTTCTTGCATGGATCTTGCTCTTATTTTTTATATTATTACAAGAGAAAAGTACCAATCTGAATATTTCAGATTTTTAAAATAGATTATAGGAAAAAGTAGCAAATACACTTTGTATCTCATTTTTTTTATTAAAAAGTTAATGCATTACACAGCACGAATATTACACATACATTCATAATGTATAACGTAGATATAGACAATATTTTATGTAGCTGTAAAATCTGTACTGAAATCGTAATTATCGGAATTGAATGTGAAATTTTCTAGTTGTCCGGCTAATTTAACAGCAGCTTTTTCTGAAAATTTATAACAGTATTAGAAAGCAACTAAAAATACTATATTAAACATTTAAGTTGCAAATTTTCTTCTATATTCTAAACATACCTCTTCTTGCTCGTTCCTTCTTTGTTTTCTTGAACTCAAGTTCCCGTAATTTATTCAATTTTTTGTTGCCCTCAATCTCTAAAAGTGGATCCGACTTCTTCTTCTCCTTTGTAGCCGCATCCTTTTTCGCCTCATGCAATCTTTTCTTTAATTTCTTCTGTATTTTGAATTCCTACACGACAGGATATCAATCGAGCATTATATAACTTATTATATAATTCAGACGCGCAATATATCAGATATATTTCCATCTTACCGCTTCTTTTTGCATTTCAATCTCCCTTGCCGCTGTAACAGGTCCCGAACTATCGATCAATACAGGATCCGCGTTATTCGTAGAATCCGTCGTGAAATTGTCTAGCATCATTTTTTCTTCTGCAGCAAAACTTTCGATGTCAAATTCTTTAGCCATTTGGCTAACAATCTCGGCGGATATGTGACATACTGGTTGCTCAGGCGGTACTGTATAATATCTGAAACGTTTTTAAATATTGGAAAACAATATTCAGAGAGTATTGCACACAAATATGCGAAATATTATAACAAACCTGATTTTTCCAGAATTCCAATCATCGAGAATACTGCGCGCGGCAGCCACTGCATCTGGCACTCCGCCTTTTCTATATTTCCCCATTCTCGCCGCTTTCATCGCGAAGAACTCATCTGGTGTTGAAAATTCTTGCATATCGTACAAGTCCATTATCTGTTGTCGTGAAATTCTTTTTAGAATCGCAGTTGCCGGCGTAAAAGGATCTTTCAACGCTTGAATCTTCACTGCATTTTTTAGAGCTATAGACGTGTCATCAGACTTTTCATCTGAACTAGCAAACACTATACCGGGAGAATCTAATAATTTTATTTTAGAGTCTAGCTGAACAGTCTGCATCGTTTTTGTTATTCCTAAAAATAAGAATAAATAATCAATAAATTTAACAATATACGTACATTATAATAATACTAATTAACAAGTTTTTGTTTATTTTTTATAAAATTTATAAATTATAAAAAATTATTAAAGTTTAAAAGAACAAGAAATTACTAAATTAGCTTAAAATTTAATAGTCAAAATAAAATGTACGAGCTAGAAGCGACATAACTGTTAACAAATAATTACAAACCTGGTAAATTTCCTACATTACATGCTTTACTGCGCTTCAAAGAATTGATAACGCTAGATTTTCCGACATTCGGAAGGCCAACAACTCCCACTCTGATACTGGTTTTTATATTGTTACTGTTCCTACAATAATTTCCAAGTAACGATAGAAGCAACTCTGCGCCGAAGCAAGTGTTGCTTTGTATCATGGACTCTGTTTTCTTTCCTAGTTTTCTTCTGCCTAATCGCTTTGCTTGATTCTGTGTGGATGATTTAAATGCCACTGCAGGTAAATTAGACCTCAAATATTTTAACCATTGATCTAAATTTTCTCTAGGAACTAAATCTGCTTTATTCAAAACTAACACCAATTTTTTATTTCCTTTTGCAGCTCGAACTGCTTCTTCCACCTATATAAAAAATAACACTTAATAAGTTAATATATATGCACTTAATAAGTTAATGTATATGCATTTATAATAATTTCTGAAATTGACCTCTTTACATCGCGTTCCTAATGGATCACGAGCATCCACAACCTCCAAAATGACGTCAGCTTCATCAAGAACTTTTTTAAATTCTTTATAATATGCTTTAAGAGAGTTTTCTTTCTTATCAGCAGCATTTTTGATCTTATCTTGTGCAGAATCTACTTCCATAGATTTATATGCTAATTGCTTATTCTCAGCACGATTAACTAATCCTTGGAGACCACCCTTGGCGAGTTCTTCACGTTTCCTCTCACGCGCAGCTTCCTTTCGCTTTTGCTTTTCCTCCTCATGTTGTTTTCTCATTGCTTCCACTTCTTTCAAAATATCTTCTTTGAAAGGACACTGATTTGGTACTTCCATTATCTTAGATTTTTCTAAATAAAGATATATGTATCAACTAGTTGTAAATATGAATATATATATATTTAGAAAAATTAGAATTTCTTACTTTTAGGATGTTTTTTAGCTTCTTTCTTCATTTTCCGATTGTGTTCACGAACTTTTTTCTCAATTTTATATCTCATTCGTGCAGGTGTCCGTTTGCTTTGTTTTTCTGTACATAATAATATTTAAATAAAAAACAGAAATATTTTTATACGTTAAAAATTCTATCAATATATAAAATTAACAAAATTAACAAAAAATGATAATTTATCTTATAATATTTATGGTATTTCACTGTTTGTTATTGTTTATAAGTTAATATAATAAAAGATTTTACTCTAATGCACATAACCTAAATGTTAGTTTCTTGTTCCATAAAATGCAGGACTTAGAGTTTCTAAGAAAACATTTAATGAACTTACTACGAAGTTTCGCCATTTTTGTCACTAATTACACAAATTTAATATTACAATAATTATAATATTTTTACAAGAACAATATATATCCAAAATAATACACGTGATTAAACCGCTTAGGACACGACGAACACATGTGTATTGAGTGCATACGAATACATCACGAAAAGAAATAAGAAATCAGGATGATAAACCAAACGCTTAAAAAAGTACTAAATTTTTCGAAAACATTCATGTTATGCATTAAATAATATTTATTTAAAAATATTAAAAAATTTTAAATTATATTTGCAATTACTGTAAAAGATTTGCATTCTCTAATTTGATATTTAGGGAAATTAATTTCTGTGGTTGCATGCCTGCTATGAGCGGCATCGACCGAACGACAATTATCATTTCGGATGGTGAAAGGTGTGCTTATATGCATATGAGGATTCTCACACTTTCATTCTGTTTTATAAGAAACGCTCGTTTGGCAGAATAGAGACAAGGCCGTCTTGGCGGCCGAAGCGGAATAGAAATTCTCATAAATTATTTCACGCGCATCGTGAAACGACTCGCAGTCGCGAGAGAGTGATACAATTTCTCTAATCTCGTTCCCATGTGTTGTATCATTTTGTAACATTGTCTTTGCCACGCAAAAAATGCGAACGATTGAGAGAATCATTAGTTAGTTCCGTGAAAAGTAGACGAATCAACAAGTGTTGACCTAAATTTTTTATTTCATGGAATGGAATTTCTGTTTTACAAAGGGTAAACTGAAGAGATAAATTTGAGAATTTTCTTGTGTTTCTCTTAATTCACGTTTTATATTCTACATTTTTTAAATTTTTGTTGTGGAGTTAAATTAACAAAATTAATAAATAGAAGAGAATAAGAAATTTGAAGAATTATTTAAGTTTCTTAATATTGATAATTAAGAATTTATTTTCACAAATATTTTTGTGTTGCCATCTTTAATTTAAAATTGCTTTACAGTTGTAATTGAAAAATAATCTTTAATTTAAGTGTAAAAATCTATGAACACAAAATTCGTGGAAGGAAAAATATGTACCTATATATTTGACAGCGCGTAATCGGTTTTATCTGTATAAGATTCAATTTCACAGAATTAATTTTTGCTTGTTTTTTTTTTTTTAAACATTTTATCACATTCCTAAAAAGTATCATGCAGACAGAGTCATAAAGCGCAAACACTTTCACGTCTTTTAAAGTAGCCTATGCATATGTGAAACAGGGCGATTGAAAGTTTAATTTCCACTACTTCCTCTTAATTTCCAAGCATTCTTAAAAACGCTACCGCTACGAACAAAATTCACGTAAAGCGCAGGAGACTTTCACATCTTTCCTCTAGGCAGGAATTTGAAACTCGCGCTTCCCCCCCCCCCGCAGTCGTTTGATGCATCGAAGTTAGGTGGCAGGAAGAGAATTCGAGCGATTCAGGCTACTGTCGAGGGGTGGCGTTTGCGCGCATCTACCGCGGGCGACTCATTCCCGTAATGGCCGCCGTCTGGCGTTGTCAGTGAGCGTGCGAGAGCCCGTCGCGAGAAGTTGTGTTACGTCGGGAAGCGTACGAGTCGCGATCGCGGTGATTTTGCGTGTGACGAGAACAGATCGCTCGCGAGGCGAATGGTGACAATCAAGTACGAAGGTGAGTGCGCGGTGTGTCCGTGATATCGCGATTGAACCCGCGCCGGCGGCGATTTAAAAGCGAGCGACTAGAGCTCCGTGCAGTGTTGTGTGCTACCCCTCTCTCTCTCTCTCTCTCTCTCTTACCCTCCGTCTGTCTGTTTACCCGAAGCATCGACCGTGACGAGTGTCAGCGACTTGTCCGAAAATCGGTGACGCGCGTCTAGCTACCTGTCATCGTGAACGCGAGACGCGCCGATGTACGCCTCGCACGGCGGATGCGCCGCCGCCACTGACGCAACGGCGTCGGCGGGCTTCCTTGCCTCGCCGCCGAAAGATGGTAAACACATCGAGTGACAGCGTGCGCGAGTGAGGAAACGGCCGTTTTGACTCGTCCGTATCATTCGGTCGCATTGCGAGTTTGACTGTGCGATCAATCTACAAAGGAAAGAAAGAGAGAGAGAACGTGTCCAGTAGGGCCGCGGGCCCGAATTCCTCACGTGGTTCAAGGTCGTCTAAAAGCATCCAGACGTCACGAGCGAACGAACGAGCGAGCGAGCGCTGCAAGGCGACGCTTTCCACGCGGCACCGCGCGAGAGAGCTGTCAGCAGTGAACGCGTCGCGAGATTTTTTCCCTGAATCTTTTCGTCTCAGGACCAGAAAACTGCTTCGGATATGAGGACACTGTGCGTAACAACAAAACCCGATGTACTGTAAGTAATATTTAATATTCGAGTCTAATTATAATCCTCATTAAGTCAATGTTAAGATCATTTTTGAAATTAAATTTTTCGAAAAACGACAAAAGTTTCCTCATCGAATTTTTCCCCTCAACGTCAATGTCCTCGTAAAAAGTATTCCTAATAGTTTCGAGCAGTCAACACGCTGTTGTTTTCAAACAAGGAACTTCTGACATATTGATTTCTGAGAAAGAAAGTAGATGATATAACGACCGTATTTTTCTGCTAAATTTTTCTGAGCAATATCATCATCTTTGACATTTCTTGATTTTTAAATTTATTGTTTATTACGACTTTTTAATTCTTTATTATTTTTGCATATATTTAAAATTTAAATTAAAACTTTATTAAAATAAAAAGTACTCGAAATTTATAAAAAAGATTTGATTTTGTTATTTCAAAGCTTTTAATTTACGACTAGTTTATTATTTTTGATTGTTAATTACACAAATATTATATATGTTTGAATATTCTCATTGAGAAAAAATTAATTGCAAATTAGCTAAAATATATCATTAAGCGTTAGCACAACAATGAATTGATTTATGCTTTTTATGTATTATAATGACATTATAATCGCTGTTAATGTAACGTAAAGCGATTGCAAATAATGCTTAACATTTTTTTGTGAATTTTTTATAATATTCATACTTTGTATGAAAAAACAATTTTAAACTGATATTGAAATATAAAGAATCGTGCAGCATAAACCTCTTTATAAGACACTGCTGATACAACATAACATTTTAATGCAAATCGCGCAAACCAATGCCATCTCAAATTACTTTAGTCTGAAAATAAGAAAGCATTTTAATGCAATGTCATATGTTTATTTAAATTGACATCACATTTACATGACAATACGATGTTACACATCGTGAGAACAAATATGTCTCCAAGATTGACTAGCAATAATTAAAAATTTATATCTCATTGGTTTATAATTGCACATTTTCTGACAAGAACTCGTATAATTTTACGGTATATAATGTTAATTAAATCTGATGAACGGTTTACGAAGCTAATGTTTTCATTAGGTACTTAATAAAACTATTATTTATGAGTCATGTAAGAGCCGTTCTTGTAGTAACATCGCTTGCCTCATCTTTGAGGCGTCTTAAAAGGTAGACTATACATTCTCATTCGACTAAGTATTGGCCAAGCCGCACACGAAAGTCACATCACGTGGATCAGGCACTCTATATATACTACGTGTAATCATATATGACAATGCGGTAAAACGCGTCACGTAAAATGTGGCGCATTCAAACTTATCGAACACTTAACGTGAACTTAAGTGAACGTATTATACGGAACTGACTGCAGTTGTTAAATAAGGATATTTAGAAAACTTTCCAGCTTATTTATTTAATTTACATAAGTGATCAATATTTTATTTTATTTTTTAACTAAATTTATGTTTTATTATTTTTATTAAATTATTTATATTTATTTTATTTAAATTACACATATACAGAATGTTCGTGATGCTAAGCGTTTGATTTATGCGTCGATAATTAATATAAAAAATGAACATAATCTTTCTTTAACGACAATTTTAATATATAAATATATCTTTTGATTAATTAAAAAAAGAAAGTTTTGGTAAACCGTCTTTAGAGATCTAGGCAGACAAAAATATTTTATTTTTTTTTATTCCTGTAGTTTTCAATGCACTTCAGTAAAATCCTGACTTGAATATAGAAACCAAATTTTATATTAGTTTTAAAAATTCAGCATTTGATTAAGGAAAATCGATAGTTTCGATAGAGGAAAAATTGTTTTAGTTTTCTACAAGCTATCATTCTGTTCATATCGAATGCATTATTATCGAATCCTGTAACTTTTAAAAGTTTATTTCTCTTTCTAAATAATTTATTTATTTTATAAGCCTTATATAATTTAATTTAAATAATGTTTAGTATGAAAGATATTAAATAAACATGAAAATTTAAATAAACAAGTTTTTAATCCTTTGAGTATGTTACTGACGCATATATGCACAAAAAAGTAGAACCAACCAAGTCAGCAGTGTCACTGACGCACATCAGCATGAAAAAGAAACAATTTCTATAATTACAATGTGAACTTGAAATCTGCATTGAAATATTTTTCAAGATCGTTAAATTTAAACGCGAAAAAAAATATTTTGAAATATTATTTATTATCAGTCTATTATTTTTAATTTCAAAATTTTTAATTTAAACTTAGAAAACTAGACATTTATTAATACTTAAGTTTATAAATTTAATACGTTTTATCATTGAAAGCATTGCTGGTACAAGAACATTTATTTCTCTTGACAAGAGATTGGCATATTCTGCTTGTTATTGCTGCAAAACATTGCAGAGTTCTTGTAAACGACGCACTTTATCGTAAACAATTTATAATTTTTTCCTGTTACTTGTGATTTCTCCGGTAACTCTGAGATATCCGTGAAAGGATCGAGAAAATCTCGATGTCAACAGCTCCGAGATCAATCTGCATGATGGTTCGTTGCGTGTGAAAATGATTATCTGTCACATAAACGAAACTCGACTTCAATTATTTATGATTTATAGCTTTTAGAAATATTATCGGTTGTATAAAATTGTCAATATCTCAAGACGATGGAAACTTGTTGGCACCATTTGTTGTCTGAGATATATGATTAGACACCGTCTATCTTGTCTAATGTTTTCTTCACATTATAAATAAAATAGTAATTGAAATGAAATATTCTGAATATTACACAAATCCCGGAAAATGACTTTACGAATAAAGATCGATTGTGCATTGCACGGAACTATTTTTATTTTTCTATTATTATTAACGATGTATTAAAATTAATAGTATATTTTTTAAACTTTAATATATATTTTTGTCGTAATGTTTTCTCTCGTAATAACTGCCTCTTTATTAGAAAAGTGCCTTGAAATTGCTATTGCTCGTCAATTTAATTGTTCCTAAATTGAAAGCAATTATCTGTTCATTACAAGCTCAGAAATAGTGCCATACAACACTAAATATAACATATCCCTCTTTATGTACTATACTCATTTATCATGTTTGCCGAAAGCAAACTAAAGGATACAAAGGGTTAAAGACTGTTATTACATATGATGGATGATCGTAGCAATGAAACCGTTATTTAAATTAAATTATCTTTTCGTAGAGATTTGAAACTTTTATTTTTCTCCGCAACTTTTTACAGTGTCTTAAATTTTGCAAAATATTTAGTTTTAATTAATTTTAAACAACTTAATACAACATTTCACTAAACGTCTAAAAGATGCCTTAAAAGGTGGGAAAATTGAAAACGTAAGAAAGACATCTTAAAAATATACTGCAGATTCTAAAAAAGAATGTTAAAAATATCAAAGGCTTCTAAGATTTATGTTAAAGTTGAAGAAGTCTTATCCTTGCAACGTCGCAGAAATATCTTTTAGACGTTTGGGAGTGTGCATGCTAAATACTGCATGTCTTCCTCGTTACGTCAATTCTCGTCGAAATTTTCGACATCCGCCAATCACCGGTCGGATGCAACTTTATTTCAGGAGGATCTGAATCAGCCTACGTGGATTCGCCCGCTGACGACGAGAGGAGAACCATGCCAAATTCCGGTGCCGCGTTCTTCCTACGCTTCGCGTTTGCGATTATGTGACGTTATCCCGCAGTGCGCGACTGCAAGGATAACTTGTGACCGACCGACTGTGATTTCAACGTGCGACGCCACTGCCAAAAAAAAGGGGGATACAAACTCGCGCCGATCGCGAAATTGCGTGTCTTCGTCTTGTTTGCTTCCTACGCCTTCCAATCTGTTTTCTTGAGGACAAGTGTCTTCCACGTTATACCAAAAACATTCACTATTGTCTCGCTTCGAGATCCCTACGTCTTCCGCGAGTTTCTTGACGAGTGAACCGAGAGGACCATCGACTTCTTTGAATTTCGCTTGAAGCGCATTCGAGATATAAGGCACAAAGGAAAATCGATCTTATCTTCTTCCGCTGATGAAGATACCATGACACCGAGTGATTCATGAATATTTCTCTACCGGATCACGAACAAATTGTCTTCTATATCATATTCTAGACTGCGTTCAAAGGCATTTTGCATTATTACAAGAAGCTTGCAACATTTATCATTGATCATCGCTTAAATATATCTAAAGCGTATTGTCGTCTTCACGTTCATTTGTGATTCGTACAATCGCTTGTCCTGCGATCCGCGATCCTTGTTCGCGGGGATTACGGCAGGACGACGCCGCGACGACCGTCGAGGGGCGCTTTGTCGAGCCGGCCGCGTGTGATGCGGCGCACGCACGGTCGCTGCTGTTGCTGCTGTCTCGCGTCAGTTTGCGCGACCGCCTCGTCGCGATAACGGCGAAGATGTTCGGGAAAGTGCCGCCGTCGAATACGCCAGGTCCGCCTAATAATAACAGCGGCCAAATGTCAGCCAAGTCGTGCGCCAGGCCGGCACCGACGGGCACGACGACGTCGTGTCTGCCGTGCTTCTCGGCGGAGGAGACGCCGACGGTGGGCGCCGATGACAAAGCGAGACCTTGGCGACCGACGAAGGACAGCGCCGGTGATTCTACCGCGGTGGTTTCCGAGGCTCCCTGCAACTCCGTGCAATCACCCATCACTTTGACAGACGCCTCGTCCACGATGGAGCTTCCGAGACCCTGCAGGACGGACACGACGATCTGCGCCTCTGCCTGCCCGAAGATCTCGGCCAAGTGTTCGCCCAAAGAAGCGCCGGTGAGCAGGAGTCATGCCAACGCGACACAAAAGTGTCCCATCGACCAAAATTGCCAGAGTTTTTCGAAGACCATGGCGCCTAGCACAGGCAGATCGCGAAGACCGCAATCCACCTCGACCGTGGGAAGTCTCGCTGTCGAATCGTGTACAAAGGACTGTGCGAAAGCTGCGAAAAAAATTGTTATTAGCCGAGAGCCTGCGAGCGGCAAGGAACATCAGACGACGAGTGGCAGCAGGACGACGTGTAGCGAGCAGCAGTCCAAGTGCTCTCAGGGATACGCCAAGTTATCTTCCGCGAAGTCTTCCGAAATAATCCACCATCCGTCGCTGTCGGGCGCGAAAAGACCCAGCGAGGACGAGAACCTCTTTGTGGACGCGTGCGCGAATTATTCCGCGACTTCGTGTGCGACTTCGTCGAATGGCGCGTCTGGCGTGTCAGCTAACGAGCTGTTGTACGCGCAAAAACCGGTGTCGAGGATAGTCGACGTGAAAGACGGTGCCGGTGATGCCGCGACGACCTGCGAGGATGACTCGTGTGCCGGTGACTTCGTCACCTCGATGCCGTCCAAAGACTGGATGCGGAGAATCACCAACGACGCGCTGCAGCAGAACTGCTACTTGCCGCAGGACATGCCCACGGAGCTGCAGTTGTCGTCCTCGCCGAAAAACTACAGGGAGCTCAAGGAGAAGTGTCGCGATCCACTAGTGTGGCGGCCCACAGAGATGACGGAAAGTGCGGTACACGGACTGACGATGTGCTCGGGCGAGACGTTTCAGGATACGAGCTCGAAGAGGCGCACCGGGGCGTCTTGCCAGGCGCTCAGACACGCTGTCGCCTCGTTGAATCGTTTGGATGACTTTTACATGGAGAAGATAGGCGCAGGCTTCTTTTCGGAAGTCTACAAGGTAAGACAATATCTTGTTAAAAAGTAAAATATAATTTTAAAAAATACATCTTGGAAACAAGATTTAGCGATTAGTTTGATACAAAATATTATACAATATACACTTAATACGTCAACATACGTATAATACATTACTGATTGAATATTCGTGCAATTTAATGCAAAATTTAATGCCATAAGAATGGAATGCCGTCATATAATAAACTCATTATATGGGATGTATTAAGCGAGATACGCAGAGAGAATGCGTATGTCCTATTTCCATTATATCAAATTTGACAAATTGTCAAATTGCAAGATTGCTTTATTAATATTTATATATAGTGCAGCGCAACTGTTTATTGTTTTTTTTTTATTAAAATCAAATGAATCTTTGTGCGCTTGTGATATAATCATTTATTTATAATTACTGGGAACGCTGATATTCATTTAGAATATTTATTAAAGTATAATGAGTATTTTTATATGCGTATATATAATTTTATTTAATTAAAAATGCATTAAAACCGTAATTTTGAAATATTAAGATATTTTTTGTCTCTATTATCTAATAGGTGTATTATTAAAAAATTAATTAACACAATACACTTATTCCGTCAAAGCGACATAACAAAGTTCCGAGCAACTAGTGTCATTCACCTATCGAAGATGCTATCAGATTTCTCGAAATACATATTTAATACCTCGTTAACAGTTCGTTAGAAAGTTTTTTTCTCGAACGGCAAGTGTTTCCTCTTAATTCTCGCTATTGTTCATAAACAATCGCGAATTCGAAACGGACGCTTCCCGTCTCTTACTGTATGGAATGCGCTATCTTTTTACGTAGATTAATATCTTGATGGAGATTAGATACGCTTGCACGCTAGCACACGAACGCATAGCCTCATGAAATTAATTCTACTCGTAATCACACGGTTACTCGCCGGTAACGTGCGATCGGAACTGTTTTTGCCGGGATTTGCTGTATTAATCCTTTTCTTCGTACACTTGTAAGAAGGGATCCCCCTTTTTCTCGGTAAAAGCTCTTTTAAGCTATTAAATTCTATCGATTAATTGCGAGAAAAAGGAAATCGCGAGAAGAAGATGTTTCTTATTTGCAATCCAGCGCCTCTGAATTATATGAACGGTGTAACGTTTTTTAAACTAACACGGTAACGTAACGCTAATATTTCACGGTATAAATAATAAAACGAGAAAACAAAATGTTGAGAGAACAAAACAAAAACTTGATAATATCGCAGGTAAATAAAGGATACAAGAAAATCCGCTTTTTTTCACGGAAAGTCATGAGCTTCTAGTGATCCCTATTTTAAACAATAGCAAATTGCGGGGAATGTTTTTTATCGGCAATCCACTTCTAAATTACATTGTTTTAAACTAATGCGATAAAATAAGAGAGATAAAGTTAGATGAGAATTTTTTTAATGACTGAAAATATTTTAGAATGTACAAATTATATTGGATTAATCTATGAATATTTATTATAATGCATTTTCTGTAAAACTTTATGGTTGCATAAACTGTACACACGTGACATTTATCTTTGCGAATGCAGAAGACGTTGTGAAAAATAGTGTCACGGCAGCTTACGTAAATCATTGTGTTTATTCATAGCAAGAGCACGTAATTATCACAGGGTCTCGCCTTAACTTTATTTTTCTCATCTAGTTACAGAATTTCTTGTCATATAGCAAAATCGATATTTCATTCTTTTTTCGTACAAAAATAATTTTTGCAGAAATCATATACAAACAGATAATCTCAGAAATGTATATAATTAGCTGCATAAAAAATAGGTCAGAATTCTATTTAAGACATAGTAATTTTATAAAAAAATACTTTTATTAGCTCTATAAAAATTATTTGCTTTGACAGAAAGCGCTATCATATATTAACATAACGTACATCTATCAACATAAAAAAACACATTTCTCAATTGTTTAAATATCTATTTACCAATAGATGATATCTATTATTAGTCATGGAAATATTTTGTTAAATTTATAATAATTATATTTTTGAAAACAGTTTTTAGAGTAGAACGAAATAAGAGCATTAGCTAAGAGCATTAGCTATAACGAGAGATGGCAGCAATTCGAGTCGAAGCCTTGCAAATACTAAACGTACACAAACAAATTATATCGCTCAGCCTACAAGCTATTATTGCGACGGTGGGCTCGAGATAGAGCCGTGCGGCAATACCGCGGGAATCGATCGAAATTCACTGTCGAGCGTACGATGCCGTATTTTTGCGTCCCGAGGAGAGATTTATGCACACGCGTCCTCTATCGATCTATCTTCATCGTGAGAGCGCGCGCGGCCACAAAAGTGGCCGGAAAGCTGCCCCAGTTTCGCGATATTCATTCCGTGCAGTCTGCAATTTTGCGCATTTGCCGGTCTTGCGATTGTGGCAGATGCGCCCGCCGAGCCCGCGACGGCTGCGCTGGACTGTGCCTGCCTATCGCAGAAGTCAGCTGAGCAATCCGGGACCTTGAGAAGTATGCCGCGGCTTCTCCGGCGTGGATAGGCGCGTTATAAATAGGTCAACAGGAAATTGAGCACGTTCTCCATAACGACTGCGGCGATTCCTCTGACGCAGCGGTGCGCAAACGTGCGGCCCATGCAGTTTTCATAGGCCCTTCGAACATTCGCGTCACAAGAGATTTTTATTACGGAATATTTTTGATTAAAATAGTCGAAGAAGTCGATATTAAACTTACTTCAACCATGAAATGATTTTATGTCGTTTTTGCGAGACTTTAGTTTTTTGAGTTTTACAGAATAATTTTAGTACATTCTTTATCTTTTCTTTCTCATTTGCTTTACGAAAGATAATATCTTTTTACTCCGTTGAATGTTGGGTAGAGCACATCTCTGCTTGAGCGCATTAGCGAGACCCTCATCTAAAAATAAATCCGTTTAATAATAAATAAATGGTTCTCGATGTTATCAAGAGGGAAATCGATATTATAGTTTATACCGTAAGTCATATTCTACTTGTAATTTATTGAACGCAACAAAACAATTAAAGATAAGAAGATCAAGATTGAATTGAACATTCTGCTACATAATTGATCTTGTAACGAATTAAAATAAAAAGAAAGTCTAGTAATAAAATCTGATAAATTTAATTGACTAAAATCACGTGGACGATGCTACATGTTTATTCATTTCGTGTTTTTTTTTAATCTGAATTTATTACACGTTTATTTTTGAGACTTAATTTAATAATGAGATATCTGTAAAAAAATATCAACATCTTGAACATTTTTGGAACAAATTACGATAATTTTAATAACATCGGAACATTTTGAAAGAATTTGAAAGTTGATTGCAACCGGTGTAGGGTCACTGGGGGCTCAGAGGTCATGCATTCTTGGCACGATAGGGTAATTGCCGTGCCAAGAGTTTTGCGAGCAAAGTACTTCCACCAATTTTCTAGCTAAGCATACGGTCGCATAATTTGGTTATCAACGATTATCCACGTACAAATTTACTTTCAAAGTTCGAACAGCTTCGGTTTATCTTAAATCTGATATAGGATTGTTGCAAGATTAAATTTCCTAAACTAGGATTATTGCCAACTTTCCAATTAGATTTTAACGGAATATTTCGTAGAAAAGAAGTTTTATGTATAAAAATTTGTTATCTGAAATAAAAAGAATTGCTCTGTTTCGTTAAATATGTAAAACATTCGTATAGTGCGAGAGAATCTCGACAGAGTGTTCAGTACCGTTATTTATGCTAATAAATCTTAAACTGTAGTAATATGCAATCTGATATGAGATGCGCGAAACAGAGCGGTTTATAGTCTTATGTTAATCTTTGTGTTTAAGTAAATGGATCATCTTGTCGTTTCTCGTAAAATTCCACAACTAGGTTGTAGCCACTTCTCGCTCCAAGAATTATGAAACTTCACAGAGTTTGGAGTAACATCAAAAGTCGCGTAACGATGACTGATCGTTATTATTGTTCTCGAGTAGATTGTTGTAAATAAGTGAAAGTTGCGAAATAATCTTCTATTTTCACCAGTCAGATGTCACGATAGAAATCTATAGTTTTTAAACTTCGTGCATGGTTGATTAATTGTGCGTTTTTAATTTTATTGTCATTTTTATTGTTCATTAACAAATTATGCATATTTTAACGATTTGCCAAGATAGACAAGATTAATGATAAGTCGCGATAAAGAATGTTACATTCTACAATATAATCTATACATTTCATTTTTCTCATTACATTGATATCGATAATTGATAATTTCAAATTGACTTCCGTTTATTTCTTAGAGTTATTCTGATTACTATATTAAGTTAATGTTACATTGAATTATAATTGAAACGTATCTCCGTAATGTGGAAATAGTATAAACTCGCGAATAGAGGAAAATCGCGGCGAATAGCGGACAAAATAGAAAGGAAAGATGCAGCGAATCTATTTTTAAGCTGCTTCTATACGCCTCCGTGTATCACGATGAATCAGAAGGCTCGTATCACGAATTAGAAGTTCATGCACGAATGTTTCCAGTCAGGTATCGAGCCAAATTTACATGATATATTAAAGTGTGTGTGCACATTAGAATAGTTCAGACATTATATCAAGTTTTCGTCTAGATAATTTGTACATTGTGCATTATGCTATTTAAAACGCTGCCAAATGTAATTTTGATTTGAAGAATATACGTAGCTGGATCGTGCCATTTCTGTACCGAGTAGTATATGTCGGATATCTCGAAATATTCGCATTGGCAGTGATGTTAATTCGCAACTAAATGTGTAATAAAAAATTTATTTTTTACATTAATAACATTAATAGAATTTTTTAAATCAACATTTAAATTTTTCTTTAATAAATAAATCAATAAAATTCGTAATTTTTCGCAACTTTCAAATTTTCAACATTCTTTGATAATTGATATCAAATTTAAATATTGCTCGTCATAAAGCTATTTGAAATTATAGAAGAAACTAGGTTTTATTGTTCTTATCTAAATCTCATTGT